AATATCTTCTCTGGGGCGGCACCTGTGGCTCAAGGAGTAGGGCACCGGCCCCATATGCCAGAGGTGGTGGGTTCAAACCCAGCCTAGCCAAAAAAAATTGAAAAAAAAAAAAAAAGAAATATCTTCTCTGGTATCAAAGAGGAAGTGTAGTGCTTTAGTAAAAATAGGAAAGGGTAAACACAAAACTATTATTGAAAGTACTAATATTTTCACTGTAAATATTAATAATTAAGAGGTAATCCATATTCACTAAGGGAAATGATCCCTGAAAACTGTTTCATGTTAGACTTTTTCTAACTTAAGGCAAGTCCTATTGGTGTGGTTTAGCATTTTTCAAGCTTATATCTTACAAAGAGTATTTTCTATTCACATCTTTGCATTTGGATAAATAACTTTTTGTTCTTTATATCTAATTATATAGCAAAAATAAAAAATATTTAGGCTCATAGACTTAAAGCCAATGATTAGTTAATACTTTAAAATACCATCACAGTAATCATTTTATCAATTATGAGGCTCATGTAATACATTTTAGTAGGCCTTATAATATCTTAGTAGGCTGTCTAAAATGTTGATGATATTACAAAAAGTGGATAGTCCTATTGCAAATAAAAATATAGATGAAATAAAAATTGACTACATGAGATTATATAAGCAGGAAGTTTTGTATGACTGATTTTAGGTTTTGTAAGATACAAGATCTCAAATGTCACCATCTCCATCTTTTTCTTTGTCCTTCTGTGCATCTCTTTCCTCACCATTTTTATCCCCATTCATGGCAGCCCACTGCTACTGTCATCATCTAGGAAGGACGAGAAGGGAATGGTGGCATGAGATTGCATTTGGCCCATTTCTTCTTTTATGTGGAACAGAGAGTTTCCTAATAAATGAAGCTTGGAGCCCAAATAGTCCATATGTGTGTGTGTATATAATGATCTGTTCCTTTTCCATATTATCAGGAGGCCACCTCTTACAGAGATAGGAGATGAGCCCCTTTTAATGATACTATTTTCTCTAGGCCATTGCTCAAGCAATGATAGGACTTGTTTAGTAGCATATGGAGCAGGCTACTGAGAATGGAGTTAGTATTCAGCTATACAGCGACAGGCACGGTTCACTCCTAGAAGTTGGTGAGCTGCCTTTGTTGGGGCTTCCTGATTTCATTTTGAGTATATGTGTATTTTATGTGGCTCAGACCATCTCTTTACCTTGTATCATACTTCCCTCTTTGCTCTGGTTTACCTCCATTTCCCTGGAGTATCACTTTTATTTAAATTTTAAAGAATTCTTTAATTTTTAATGATACTAATTTTGGTGATAAATTATATGTAACCCTAGTTATTCTTTTGATGCATCATATAAGGTACGTTACATTTCTCAGCTTTTCTTATATAGGGAAACCAAGAATGATATCTCACTTTGCCTTGTCTGTGATAACTGACAACCTGCAAAATAATGAGTTCCTATCTACGTACATTAGAAATCCAGTAGCCAAGGTAGATCTCTCACAAAGACTTAAGGAGCTTCCCAGGGGTATAACCAGTATCTCTTGACAGCTGGGCTAACCAGTGTCTTGGATTAAGAACTATGTGTTTTGAACTGACTAGATTGATCCTGAACTGGTAATCTATAAAGCTTTGTGCAAGATTGAAGCACTTCAGGGCACTTGGAAACTTTTCTATTTCAGTATTTTCCTTAATTTCAGCAAGTAATGATTCGTGGAATATTATTTGAGAGCAGCCCATTGGGCTAGACCATGCCAGGTTCAGGTTACCAAAAACCACAAATAAATACACAAGTGTGTGAATCCATGAGTATTTGATGCAGAATGATTTATAAGGTTTTCAGGCGGTGGCAGTGTCGGCTGGGGAAGAGAATGCTAGTCTGAATCTGGGAAATCAAGCAGAAAGCCAAGAATTTGGAGTGAGTTAAATGGTTTATCAAGTTGAAGGATAAAGTTAGGTTTGGTAGCAGATGGTTAGGTGTAAGACATGGATGTAGGTCAAAGGGCAGTTGTTAACGAAGAATGTGGCCCATCTATTGCTGTACCAGTGTTAAATACTCTGCTGAACTGGTGACTGGGTATTAAAGTTTCAAAGAGTGCTGGACAAGTCTGCTTTCCTTTTCACTCCTTCCCTGGTGAAGTTATTTTTACTGGGTAACTTTAGTAATGGTAGGAAATAAGTATATACTAAGGTAAATACTTTAAGAAAGGGGAAACATTTTTTTCTTACTGGGTTAATGAACTACATATATATTTAGAAAAGTGAATTTTATGCTGTGCGTGGTGGCTCATGCGTGTAATCCCAGCACTCTGGGTGGCTGAGGTGGGTAGATTGCCTGAGCTCATGAGTTTACCATCCTGAGCCAAAGTGAGACCCCTGTAAGTAGCTGGGCATTGTGGTGAGCGCCTGTAGTCCCAGCTACTTGGGAGGCTGAGGCAAGAGACTCGTTTGAGCCCAAGGGTTTGAGGTTGCTGTGAGCTGTGACACTACAGCACTCTACTGAGAGTGACAAAGTGAGACTCTGCCTCAAAAAAAAAAAAAAGAAAGAAAAAGTGAATTTTAGGTAAAATGGAATATAAATTCTTTTTTAATAAATTATTTGAATTGTGCTCTTATCAAATTTAAAATATGGTATTAGCATCTTGATCCTAGTTCAGGAGAAACAAAGCTTGTTTAATTATTAATGAAGTTTTATCAGAATATTGTCTGTCAGTTTCTCATCTATCCATCTTTCACAGGCTTGATACAACTCTCATAGACTTTACTGACATGAAGTGCCAACGAGGGGATTTAAGCTTCATTTTCAATGGGGATGCAGCGCCCTCTGAATCTTTTGTAGTATTAGACAATGAACAAAAAGTTTATCAGCGAATACATCATGAGGTGAGCATGTTATCTTACCAGTTTTCTTCTAGGTTAAAAAGAAATGTCTGGTTTTAGCCCACCCTCAGTGTAATTTCTGTAAGAGTATAAGGTATAATTGAGATGGTTTATTCCTAAAGCTTTCATTTTCTTTCCATTGGGAAAGGAAATTTTATTTCTTTATTTTCTTTTATTTTTTATATTTCTGTCATTAGATCTCCATCTTGACCAGTCTGTTGAGTCAGCTCAGAACTTACAGATTATCTCCTAGATTAATGAATTCCGTCGTCTTTTAGTTCGAATCTGTAGTTTTAATTTGTTGAATCTGTGCTGGCCTGTTCCCATCTGTTGTCTTATTTCCTTGGCCTCTTGGAATGTTGCTGACTATCTCTGTCTCCGTCATGTTAACCCCCTTTCAGTTATGTCTGCACCGTTATTTACTTTATCTAGCCTTTTGCCTACCTTTTCTTTTTCTACCTTTTCTTTTTCCATTTTTTCCCTCTTACAGTACAATGTTATTTTCCTTCTGTCATGTCATATCTTCATGCTGAAAAAACATATCATTATTTTTATCCTTTGTTCCCTTTCCCTGCTGCAAACCAAAGAAAAAGATTTTCTGGTATTTATATGTCATTAATAACCACTACAGATTTTTAAAAATTAAGTAATAATTAAAAAAATTTTTACAGGTGGGTTTTGCTATGTTGCACAAGCTGGTCTTGAACTCCTGGTTCCAAGTGATCCTCCTGCCCTAGCCTCCCAAGTAACTAGAACTATAGGCACACACTACTGTGCCCAGCTACTAGAGATGTAGCCACTTTGTTTTTATTTTGTCTCTGATTTTCATCATTTCATTTTCCCACATTGTCATTCACTACACTTGTGGCTCCTTTTATATCTATTAGATTAGACTGTTCTACCACCATATCTATTCACTGGATTTTAATTACCTTATATGTCTACTATAGAAAAAAAGAGCTTCCTGGTGCTGAGCAATGAAGATCTTAGAAAAGGAGGGGGAAAAAGGGTTATCCCTTGTGGATAAAACAAAATGAGGAAAGTCGGGCAGTGCCTGTGGCTCAAAAGGATAGGGCACTGGCCCCATATGCCAGAGATGGCGGGTTCAAACCCAGCCCCAGCCAAAAAATAAATGAGGAAAGTCAGGGAGGTAAGAATATAAGAATGATCTGTTTGGGAAAGAGAAAGATCAATCTGATTGTAGTGAAAGTTTCTCATATTGAGCATGAGAAAGTAGTTTATGGAGGGCCTTAAAATTAAGGTGAGATAATTTAGGATTTGCCACAGTCAGCAACAGATTTTTAAGCAAGGCATTGATTTGATCAAAAAATTATTTAAGTGAATTAATCTCACGTATTTCTTTTACTTTGCCTTTCCCTCCCTCCCTTCCTCAAACATTTATCAAGCACCTAATGAATGCTAGCAACTTGTAGGTACTGTGGATAGTGCTGTTATATATAGCGTGTATCAGTCACTAAGACTGCCAGGTGCTGTGCGTAATGGCATCAACAGTGTGTATCGATGACTGTTATGTATTGAGTATTAATTGCCAACATATTAGGATTGTGTTTTACAGCTCTCATCATTAAGTCCTTAAAATAATCTTCCAAATTAGGTAATATCTTTACTTTATAGATGAGAAAATTGAGGCTTGTGGATATTACATGACATGTCTAAGGTCACATTAGTATGCAAGGTGAATTTGAAAAGTGAGAGATTGGGGATCTTTGCTGATCCTCATCCAAGGTGAATATTTAAGGTGAATGATATATAGTGAATAATTAAGAAAGAGAAGTTGTGACATACATTTCCAAGAATGAAATTATCAAATTTGCTAACAGTTTGAATGTAGTGAATTAAGAAGAAGAAAGATTTAAAGATGAGTGTTAGTGATGCTTGCTTGAAGAGTGGGTAATGGTGTTGCCAATTTGGAAAAGAAAACAAGTTTGGAGTTTTAGATGATACTATTTTGAGTCCATTGCTAAAAGCAGTGTACTTGTTTCGACTCTCTCTTTGTTCAGTTTTGCTGAAGTATTTGGTAACTCAATTCCTGGAATGTTCATTTCCTTTTGGCTGCACCTTGGCTAGTTCTTTCTCAGTTTTCATTTTCCTTTCGCTGTTTTCACTTCTTAAATATGATATGGCCTTGAGGTGGTTCTCATTTTTACAGACTGCCAGTATAATCTCTTCTATTCCCATAGCTTTAATTACCTTTTATAGGTTGATGATTCAGAAATATATATTCGTATCCCACAGAGTCTTGAGTGGAGAGCTATCTGTTTAAATGCCTAATGGATATTACATGTGTCTCCCAGGTACCTCATAATTCACCTAATTGATAACTAAACTTCTTATTTTCCCTCCAAACATGCTCACTCTTCTGTTTTCTCCCTTTTGATGAATAATATCATTCTCTATTCAGTCAGAGACCTAGGAGTTATTTTTGATATCTTTTTTGTACTCTGTTTCCTAATTAGAGAATGTATCTGGTCATTTCTGTCTCAGTAATGTCTTATAATTATTCCTTTTTATTCACATTGCCACTAGTACAATTCAGATATTTATTTCTCAACTAGACTATTTAGAAAGTCTTACAAATAATCTTCCTTCCTGACTCCCTTTTTGTGTGCTTCTAAAATTATTTCACATACATATTGAAGATATATTGAATTTTAAATGCAAATTTATGAAATGTTCCTTAATTAAAGACACTGTAAAGCTTCCTCATTACCTAAAAAGGTAAAATCCAACTTGGTGTCAGTGCGGCAGGTTCCTTTGGGGTCTGTCTCCACCTCCTGCCTCCTTCTCTGAAATCCAACTTGGTGTCAGTGCGGCAG